CGGTGAGGCAGGGCCCGCCCCCCGCGCGCCGCCGTCCCCCCAGGCCCCGCGGATCCCTGCCTTTGAGGATCTTGGGCTGCGGTTTGTCGGTCTCCTCGACGGACGGCACCAGCAGGTCCACGAGGCCCCGGAGCAGCGCCGCGCTCACGCTGTCGTAGCTGACCAGGTCCTTCATCAGCTCGATGGCTGCGAAGGGCAGAGGCGGCGGGAAGCCGGCGCTCCGACGCCCTCCGCCGGCGCCGAGCGAGCGAAGAGCCCCTTGAGCCAAGTTGCTTTGCTTCGCCCCCACCCTCCTCATTGACCTTTCCTGACCTTTCACTGGCCAGCACTGTACAAGGTGTGGGGAGAGCTGGGCAGGGGACACCTCAGTCCCGCCTTCTAGGAGCCCTGGGCTGCAGCCGAGGAGGAGGGAGGCAGCCCTCCCTGCCCCAGCCAGCCACAGCAGGGGGAGGAAGGGCTGGGTGGTGAGCCCACCCACCAAGGGCGCTTGGAGGAATCCGGAAGGATTCGTGGAGGAGGGAAGGGATGGGCTTTCACAGGGAGACGAGGATGGGGAAAGACAAGGGGTGGGGAGGGGAGACAGCAAGTGGGGGGGGATGCGCGGCACAGAATGAGAAAGGGGTGGACGGAGTTGACAGCGTTACAGAAACTAGTTTCTGATGGACCATTCTGAGCCCCTCTTTGCCTTGGCTCTGTGCTCAGGGCAATGAGATTCGCTTTGCAGTAACACTCTGACTGTTATCCCCAGAGGGAATGAAGCTCGGAGAGGTAAAGCACTTTGCCTAAGGCACCCCAGCTAGGAAGTGGTGGAAGCAAAAGAGAGATTTGGTGAGAGGGAGGAGGCAGTTAGAATTTATTGAAGGGATTTTCTGTAGCTATTTTCCAGTTATTCATTCCTTCCAACAGTCACTCAGCCTCTAGAATGCCTGTTGTGCCAGGTGCACAGTATGATAAGGAGGGCTATAAAAGGGGTCAGTAGGCTGTGGGAGTGTCAGGGAAGGTGGGAAGCAGTGCATATTTTTGTAAAGAGAGGAAGGGAGAGAGAGAAAACATCGATTGGTTGCCTCTCATACCCAGAACCTAGGTATATGCCTTGACCGGGAATCCGACCCACAACTTTTAGGTGTACTGGACTACGTTCCAACCAACTGAGCCACCCAGCCAGGGCTAACTTGGTTCTAATTTGGAATCACAGAGCCAGCAACATTGTGGAGGGAAAGGGACCAGCACACCAAGCCTTCCTGGCTACCCCCAAACACTCTCCTACCTGCATAGAAATGCAGCCTGGGGTGCCTTTGGCTGCTTGGCACCCACTTCCTGCACTGGCTGGAGCCTGAAACCCCCAAGTCTTTCTCACTTGTTCTCTTACTGTTCGGTTATGAAACCTTTTCTTCCTTGCTCTTGAATTAGTGCAGCTTGGTTTTTGGATCTGAGTGGTTGGCTCCTCCTAATGCTCAACACACTGGGCCTTGTCAGCTGCAGCACGTCTCTCAGTAATAGTTGGGCTCTTCAGGCACAAGCTGGTAGCACCTTAGTGCGAGGACATGGTGGGAAAAATGCCCACCTGTGCCTCACAGAGCTCTTCCTGAAGCAAGAAGTGACTCAGTGAACATTCAGGGTAGAAATGAAGAAATGAAGATATTTTATGACATTTCCCTGACTACAAATGGCATTCTCTGCCTACGTAGGACCAAGTACTCCAGGCGACAAATGTCTGGTTCTGCCTATTCACTTTACACTGAATGCTTGATCCTTTATTGATTATGTATCTGCAACACTTGGAGCTTCTCAGAAAAGTGAAGATTTGTGCACTGAATCGTTTTTGATTGTTTTAAAATTCACATCTGTCGCCTGGCTGGGCGTGGCTCAACAGTTGAGCATCGACCTATGATCTAGGAGATAGAGGTTCAATTCCCAGTCAGGGCACATGCCCAGGTTGTAGGCTCGATCCCCAGTTGGGGGCCTGCAGGAGGCAGAGCTAGCTGATCAATGATGACTCTCTCATCATTGATGTTTCTTTCTTTCTTTTTTTTTTAAACATATCTTTATTGATTTCAGAGAGAGGAAAGGAGGGGGAGAGAGAGAAAGATAGAAACATCAATGATGAGAGAGTCACTGATCAGCTGCCTAGCCTGCAACCTGGGCATGTGCCCTGACCGGGAATCGAACCCCGATCTCCTGGATCCTAGGTCGATGCTCAACCGCTGAGCCACGCCTGGCCAGGCTGATGTTTCTATCCCTCCCTCCCTGCCTCTCTCTGAAATCAATAAAGATATATTTAAAATAAAAAAATAAAATTCACAGCTGTCACTTTTTACATCCAAAGCGAAAGTGCTTGTCCCTGCCCAAAGGTCTCCACAAGAGCCACACAGCCAGTTATAACTCTTTACACTGTTAGTTACTAAGCATAGCAGACTCATTCGGAAAGCCCAGGACAACCAGAGACTACCATCTTTGGCAGCTCTGCCTGAAGCCTGCAGTGCTGATGACACCTCTGTCCTGCACTGAAGCAGTCACTGATTTATTCATTGATGCATTCATTTATCTAACAAATACTTATTGAGCATCTTCTCCATGTCAGACCCCTGTGCTAGGGCAATGAGGATGACTAAGATATAATCCCTGCCCTCAGGGATGACACATCTAATGGATATCAGTAAGGAAACTGGCATTTATGATGTCATGTTAAAAGAGCCATGGGGCACAAAGGAAGCCAGGCTGACGTGAGGGTGTGTTGAGGGGGTGGGGGACAGAGAATCAGAAGGCTTCCTTGGAGAAGATAACATATGAGCTGACAAAGTCATAGGGAGGAGGGAGGGATGCAGATGAAGGATGTGGCAAGTGCCATGTTGGAAAGCTCATGACACCCTTGTGACCAGGCAAGCAGAGAGGTCTGGCTGGGACACCGGGTGTTGTGAGAGCTAAGCCTGTGGTAGGCCAGCCCCCGCTTCTGAGGGTTTTGCATGTGCCAACAACCCTGTAGCATAGGTGTTTTCTCATCTTTCATTTCAGAGAAAACTAAGATTCAAAAAAGTTGAGTAGCTTGGCCAGTTGATAAGTAGTAGAATGACTGTCAGATTCTGCAGTTCATATCCTTCACCGCTAAGCTCTGGTGGAGAACCAGGAAAATAGGCTGTGTGTGGGCACCATACTGGAGAGACGGAGTTTGTTTTAGAGGTGAGAAATACAAAGACCTGAATTAGAGAAGGAGACAGAATGGAGAAGAGGGGACATCTTTGAATGCTTTTTTTTTTTTTAAATATATCTTTATTGATTTCAGAGAGAGGAAAGGAGAGGGAGAGAGAGCTAGAAACATCAATGATGAGAGAGTCACTGATCAGCTGCCTAGCCTGCAACCTGGGCATGTGTCCTG